TTATCCGTGACCTAATCTAGTTTGTCTTAAAAGCAATGTCTTGATGGGTCCCTAGACGAGAAACGAGTGTCCATGTTTTATCCCTATCCTATCCTTAATAATAATTTTAATGCTTAAAATTTGTAAGGATACTTAAGTTTGAATTTAATAACTTGATAAAAAGGAAAAGTCGTGTTAGAAAGTTTAAAACAAGCAATAGACAATATCACATGCCGAGAACAAATGGATGCACTCGAAAAACGTTATGGGCTATTAAAGATATTAAATTTGTTAATAAAGAAAACGTTAATTTTTCGCATAACAAAAAAATCACACAGCAACGTAGACCCTTCTCTACAAAAAAGAAAAGAAAACCCCAAAGTGAACGTCTAGCTAAAGCTAATAATGAATAAAGCTAACGTATTTCTATTAGTGCTCTTTTTTTTGAAAAGAGATACATTTGTTAACAGTTACAGTATGAAATAAATAACTTTTAATTAAAAATCCTTGTTTTTTTGTGCTAAAACCTCATTTTTCAATGGGTTTTTAAAATATTTTTGCCGGTGGCGGTATACAACATACTACTATATTGTTTAAAAAATGTATGTAGGTATTTTATAATATGCTTTTATGTGTGTTAATAATATAAATAGGTATTTCTCTGAAATAGGTACCTAGGTATTAATTTTGATTTTTAAATAACCAGATATTTTAAATTTTTACGTGCGTAATATTTACAACACGCATTATATAATATACTATAAACGTCATTACATTTAAAGTGAAAATGAATTCACAATTATGGAATAATAATGGATTAAACTATTCAAATATTTTTCGCGTAATTTTACTACTGGGCAAATAGTTTCATACAAAATAATTTCAAAATAAAAGCTCACGACCTACGATCTCCAAGCAATATCATGCTTAAAATATGTTGAATAGTTTAATTGATTAAATTTTAAATGTATATATCAGAGAACCATTTGGTACGCGCTGTCGACAGTCGCTTGTATGTTTTTACGGCTTGTATGGCAAATGGTGCCATCTTGTTGGAATCAAATGTCGTCGAGACCACGAGCTTTAATTTCATTCTCTAAATAGTCCGTTATCACGGCGCGATAACGGTCTCCATTCACAGTAACATTCTCACCGGCCTCTGTTTTAAAGAAATATAGACCGACGATTCCACCGGCCCATAAACCACACCAAACAGCTGTTTTTTCTGGATGTAATGGCAACTCTTGAAACTCTTTGTGTTGCTTATCACCTCAAATACGGACCTGGTCGAATTTTTTTTTTTTCAAAACCAGTAGACCTTTACAAGTTTATCAACAGTCCATCAACTGAAACGGTGACTATTCGGAAGGTCGGTCGGCTTCAGATCTTGAACTAATTGAATTTTTGTATGCTTTTAAACCCATATATTTACTTAAAATATGCCATGTTGTTGCATACAACAAGCCAAGCTGTTGAGAACGGCGACGAATCGATTCTTCATTATTTTCGCGTACACTCTCCGCTACCACCGCTATACTTTCTTCAGTACGTACTGAATATGGTCTATTTGTTCGCGTGTTATCCAATAATCAAAACTGGGTTTCACATTCCTTACTGATGGTGTAGCGAATTGTGTATTCGTGAGACAGGTTATGTGGACTTAAGCGTACGAAACACATTCGCTGTAGAACGCCTATTCGCCACGATTCATGCACGACCTCCCATTAAATCCCCAACAGAAAAGTACCGCCAAAGGAATCACCTATAAACAGCAGTCAGCCTTATATAAATACAAATGCGGGATTCCAGAAGTTCTAAACATCATACCCGAAGCCCAATTTGGCTTCAGATCAGAACACTCCAGCGAGCTACAAGTACTCAGACTAACCGAGTACATAGCAGCTGGATTCAACGATAAACAATACACAGGAGCTGCATTCCTGGATGTAAGTAAAACATTCGATAGAGTCTGGCACAAGGGACTACTATACAAAATGAGAGGATACGGGTACAGCGGAGCAATGACAAGGCTGATCTCTTCTTACTTGAGCAACCGCAGTTTGAGAGTCCGGATAGGACAAGTCCTGTCCGAACTCGGGAACCCGGAAGCTGGAGTACCACAGGGAGCAGTACTGTCACCTCTGCTATACACGATATACACAGCAGACATACCTAGAACACCAGGTACATTATTAAGTCTCTATGCCGACGATACAGCGATAGCGGCCAAACACAGAAATGTAGACATAGCAGTCACTAACCTACAGACAGCGTTAGACGACATTGAAGAATAAACCCCCTCTGTGGCTCAGTGGTAAGAGCGCCTGCCTTTAAATCTAAAGGTCGTGAGTTCGAATCCCCACCTGGGTGGAAATTTTCGTTTATTAAAAAAAAAAAAAAAAAAAATTAATAAATGAAAATAATTTCTATCCTTGTGTGATCGGTACACACCGGAGGGACCGCAGACGTTCGGATACAATTAGCGTCTCTTAGCAAAGACAATGACGTCGACTTTGCTAAGTATCAAGACAATTACTCTACACACACAAACACACACACACACTACATTAATAAACTTATCTTGATTGAGACTGGCTGAATGACAATTGTCCAAGCCAAAACACACACAAAAAAAAAAAAAAAAGACATTGAAGAATGGAGTCTAAAGTGGAAAATTGCAATTAACTCAGATAAGACGCAAGCTGTACTTTTTCAAAAGAGGCGAGAACGACCGGAAGAACAGGTAACTGTGCAAGACAATCCCATTGAGTGGAAAAGCGAAGCAAAATACCTCGGGGTAATAATGGACAAAGGACTAACCTTTAACAAACACGTAGAAGCTACGGTACAAAAAGCCAACATGGCAAGGGCCGCAATAAGAGGCCTAGCAGGAAAGAAAAGCAAACTTCGCATAAAAACCAAAATAAGACTTATAAACAGTATAGTCCTTCCTATACTGACCTACGCGTCACTTGCATGGGGACATATATGCAACACAACCAAAAAGAAAATACAGGCACAACACAACAAAAGCCTAAGAGAAGCGGTAAACGTACTAAGATACGTAGCTGAAAGATTCCTTTTCAGAGAATTACAACAAATCAGAGTGACTGACACTATGAAAGAAAAGCTAGGAAAAAGTAGTTCGCAGAATTAGAGAACCACCCCAGTCACATTCTACGAGAGATAATGAGGTATGACGCTTTCCACAGATGGAAGCACAAAAGACCAAAACAACAAATAGTAGACTAAAATAAAACCAGAGATAGAAATAAAAAACCCCCCAGATGGACAGAATTCAACAAAAAGCCCAGAGTGAGAAGAAACTTTAAATCATACCACACACACAAGGAAGACTGTTCGTAGCTCAAATCACCCAGAATATCGCTTATCGCCTCATACACAGTGGGCCTAGCAGCTCAACTAGGATACAGTCTGTATTGTGGTAACGTATAATATTTATATATTTTCTTTATTATAATATAGATTGTACACTAATTATGATTTCTTTTTCCACAGGTCACCTACAAAAAAAATCACAAAAAAACACAAAAAAACCGGCTTCGGCCACCAAAAAAATTAACAAAAACCCCAAAACCCGGGCACGTAGGGCCCAACCCCCTTGAGCACCAAGTCGCCGAACTGAGCCGGGACTCAGAGCGGAGACTTGAGGCCCAAGTAAGCAATTTTAGTTAGCGGATAAGCCACATTAAGATAAACAGGAATATAGCGGAGATGCGCTGTCCTGAGTTTTTTTTTGCATTCGGCTAGGAAACCATGTTGGGGTTCTATTACCCAGGACCTCCACATGAAGAGCACTTGGCTGATTGTTGTGCCTCCCTAGCGAATCAGATTGCTATAGGGGGGAAAGGGATGGTCTAGAGCATTGGAGCACGGTGGGGTGACTCCTGTTTTTACTCGAGTTAACACACCTTGCTCCAATGAATTGTTACACCCGATCGTACTACCTGGGTGAACATTTCTCATAGGCTGGGTTCAATCAAATTGCTTGCTTGCCAGAACTTCTAGAATAGTCCATCTCTATCGTCGCCATTACGCCTCTAAAGCGAGTCAAATTTGGTTATAACGGGAGAAAATAAGATCGAAAAACGTGTTTTTTACGTTTTTGGCCCGGCCGTAGCTATAAATAAATACCCTTTTTAACTGGCGCCTGAAACCCCCTCTGTGGTTCAGTGGTAAGAGTGCCTGCCTTTAAACCTAAAGGTCGTGAGTTCGAATCCCACCTGGGTGGAAATTTTCGTTTATTAAAAAAATTAATAAATGAAAATAATTTCTATCCTTGTGTGATCGGTACACACCTGAGGGACCGCAGACGTTCGGATACAATTAGCGTCTCTTAGCAAAGACAATGACGTCGACTTTGCTAAGTATCAAGACAATTACTCTACACACACACACACACACTACACCTCAAATTGTAAGATTGGCGAATGGATTTAGTGTCCGCAGTCATTTAAACACAAACAAACAGAACAAAAACTGGCGCCTGCAATAAACTTCTGCTTAATCTACCGACCGATATTGTATTGTCGGAAATCTATAATTTATGATTCCCAAGTATCAGTGTAGGGTTTTGACAATTCGCACCTAATAAACTACCCGTTATATACATGTTGTTAAATTGAATTTAAGTTACATTATTTGATCTTATATACTAGAATCTTAAGTTACAACAGGAATTGATCGGACTGGAGTTTGCTAGTCCTGAGACAAAGTGTCTACGAGGACTTGTTAATAGCAACTGATTGAAATGAAATTCACTTGATTATAGAGAAAGTGTGTACGCATATTACGGACATCTGCTATCACATGCAATTTTGGCCATTCTTTTGCAAGAATTGCAGATAGAAAAAAGGACGAATAATTTCCAAACTCTTCCAATAAACAACCAAAAAGAAACAAAACGTCAATTTTCTCGATTATAAAATCATTACACATATGGTCTAGCTACTAAATTCAGGCCAATTTTGTTTTCAATAAAATTATATAGTAGATTATACCTGATCAGGTCCACAGCATGTTGCTTCGGGCGATAAATCGGGACAACGTTTTTTCAAAATGGCGATGGCTTCATCGTCGACTAATTTTTTAGGAGGACCATCGTAGTAACAATTTTTCATAGATCCCGTATTGGGATCCTGGTAACAAGCCCCGTACCATATGCATTGGCCGTTTGACGTTCGACGGCTCGTTGAATCGTTATTAGTTGCAGAAAGAATCTGTAATAAAAGGAAAATTCATATTAATTGATTGTAACATAATAAGATAATTTAAAACATAAATCTCTATCGAGCCTTATTCTAACCACTTTTAGACATACGCATATTTAATATCATCCATTAAATAATTGATTTTATTGGCGCGTGTAAAGATAGCTAATTTTCTCAAATAATTTTATTGAATGTGTAGCCTACATTTATTTGTTTGCCACATGTTGTTGATTTAAACTTTAACAGATCAGAGTAAGAGTAGTCGGTAAAAACCAAGACAGAGAGGTCCTGTAGCATTTCAATTTCCCCTTGTATATGTTAAAACACCGAAAAATATTATCAATCCTTTTGCGTCGCTATGATTGATAATATAAACATTTCTGGTCTGTATATAATAATTTTAATTGTATTTTTTTGATTGTGATTCCGCTTAATATTGCGCGTCAAATAAATATCCACTTAGGTTGGCGAGAACGTGACACGGGGAAGAGAATTAGGAATTATATCACTCTACATTCTACAATGGATCAAGATAGGAGTCAGGTCATTGTTTAGTCCGAAGTTTTCTTCAGTCAGTAATATAAAGTGAATTGTAGTAGTAGTTTTAGAGGAGAGGACCAAAGGAGTTTTAGATTTGGGAAGATATAGCTTTCGGCGTGTAGTCTTCAAACCCGGCAATTTTTTTTGTGGAGAGGTGAATTTGGGCTTAAGATGCTATTTGGCAGATTTTGTTGAGTTAATCACCGATAGGTTGTGCTGTGTCAGGGACTACCACAACGCAATTACTGGTCTTGAGCTCAATGCAGCAGTGATTCTTAGTAAATTAATATCTTGTTTACTGCAAACTCTGACTATCCCGTTTAGTAAAATTTAAACATGGTCATATTTGACTTTTGTTATTCTTCTTCTTCTTCACGTACCATGTCCTTGCAGAACGTTGGTTACCATCATAGTTACCATAATTTTATTCACTGCCACCCTAAATAGCATGCTTGTATCAACACCATACCAATCTCGCAAGTTCTTCAACCATGAGGTTCTTCTTCGTCCTGGACTGCGTTTGCCTGCTATTTTTTCTTGCATGATATTTTGTAGCAACCTATATTTAGGACCTCTCATTACATGTCCGAAATATTCCAGCTTTCTCTGCTTGATACTTTTTATGATCTCAGTAGTCTTGTTGAGACGTATAGCACCACCTGTGCTTCTTGTTGCTATTTCTTTAATATTCGTCTAATGTCGTCCATCCAGCGTGTTGGTGGTCGTCCTCTGCTGCGTTTGTCTTTTCGTGGTCCATCTTGTGTCTTTCAGTCTTGCTATGTGACCTGCTCAATTCCATTTCAGCTTGAGCGTGAGAGTTTCTGCTCCGTATATCATAATAGGAAGAACGCATTGGTCAAATGTCTTCCGTTTCATAGCTACCGGGATGTTGTTCTTAAAGATGTCTTTTAGTGAACCGTACGCGGCCCAAGTAAGTGTTATTCGTCGTTGAAATTCGGTCTGGTTGTCCTTGCCTATTCTTATTTCATGACCAAGATATATGTACTTTTCTGTCAATTCTAACACTTGATTTTGGATGGTTAGGTGTTCGCTGGGAACTAAATTTGTCATAAATTTGGTCTTACTGATGTTCATTTTTAGACCTATTGTTGAAGATACGTTTTCTAATTATTGTAGCATTTGTTTCGCTTCACCCAGACGATTGTGCATTTCTCCACCTATTTTTATTCCCCTATTTTCCCACTTTAGCATTTTAAAGGCGTATTCAGAGACCTTTATAAATCATTTAGGTGAGAGAGTGTCGCCCTGTCTCACACCTTGCTTCATATGAATTTCTTTGGTGCTATCATGTAGTTTTACACGCATTGTGGCGTTTTGATATAATTTTTGTGCTAACTTTGTAAGCCGTTAATCTACTCTACTATTGCTCAGAGCAGTTATAATGCTGTCTAATTCCACAGTGTCGAAGGCTTTGCGAAAGTCTACGAAGATAAGTACCAGTGGTCTGTTATATTCTAGAGACTTTTGTATTAAGGTTTTTACTGTTTGTAGGTGATCGTTTGTACCAAATTTTAAGCGGAAGCTAGCTTGTTCTCGGGGTAGAAATCTAACTTTTTCTCTAGTCTTGTAATTATTTGGGTAAACGTTTTATAGATGTGGTTCAATAAGCTGATTGGTCTATAGTTTTCTAGGTGCGCCTTGTCTCCTTTCTTGTGTAATAAAATTGTTACTGCATTGTTCCATGGTTTTGGTATGCAACAATCTGTTAGACAAAGGTTAAACAACATTTTTATTTGGTTGAGAAGGACACGTCCGCCCATCTTTAGAGCTTCTGTTATGATTCCATCTTCTCCCGGCGCTTTGTTGTTTTTCATCTTTTTCATTGCGTCCTGGATTTCGCTTATTGTGATCTCCGGCATAAGCTCTGAACCCTGGTTGAAAATTTTGCGTGATGCGGCGGCTTCTAAGTTCTTTTGGTTTTCTTTTTGGCTTGTGTATAGTTCTTGACAGAAATCTTCAAATATGTGTAGTAGTTCTTCTCTATTTGATGTGGGAACTCCTTCTTTGTTCTCTAGTTTATGTATTTCGCATTTTCCATTGTGTAGCCGTCTTCTCAGGACTTTCAGACTTTTATTCTCTTCTAAAGTTCGCTGGAGACTTTTTCTTAAAATTTCTTAAATGTCCTTAAATCTTTCCTTATAGCTTTTGATACTTCTTTGTTTATTTTTCGCAGTTCTTCTTCGTCAATGCTTTCTTCTCCTTTGATTTTTCTTCTAGTTTCAATTAGTTGCTTTATTTCAATGGTTATTTCATCTTGGCGTCTTTTTAGACGCCAAGCATTTTACTTGAACCTCTCAAATTTTTTTGATATTTTTGTAACAATAAAACATTGAAAACTTTGTTTTCAAACTTCTACAAAATTTATTTTAACTCTTATCACTACAGCTGTTTCGGCTGATTGCCTTTCTCAAGTAATCTATTTTTGGCATACGTTTACAATTTATAGTCTCTAATGAAATAGGTTGAGGAGGGGAGAACCCCCTATATATTTTTTGTCAGTAATTTTGTAGTCTATCTCGTTTTTGACTATTTGAAGCTGGTATAAAAAGCATAAAAACACATTTCTGTCTAGAGTCATACACGAACAAGTTTTAACCTATGAAGAATTTATCGAGGCTGTCTTAAAAAGTCATCCTATATGTATTATCAGTAATGATTTTTCAGTATTAACACCTGGATTACAGCCACCTTTCCACTGGATTACAGTGGATATTGATTTAAATAGACTTAAATCATTGGCAATTTCTGCAACGATTTCATGCAGACTTTTGGTAAAGATGGAGCTGAGAATATTACATATTCTTCATCAACACATGAAGTGGCATAAACATGAGGATAAACCTAATATCCTAATAAAGGTATATATAATAAAGGGGTAATTTGCCCTATCATATAGGGAATATTACAATATTGTGTACAGGAAATCAGACTGATAAAATAAAAAGAAGGATAAAAATATTTTGACAGTATTTGATAAATTCTCGTATACTAAGAAAATTGAAATATCTGCAGTATTTGAAAAGGATGTACTTCCAAGGCACCCCCCAAAAAATAAATTCCAAATTCAAAAAATTTGAAAAAATTTGAGAAGGTGTATGAGATGACTAGAAATGTTTTGACAACTTTTAAGCAAACTTCATGTTTTCGTTTTTAAAAAAACTCAAAAAAACTACTTTTTTCCAAGTATAAAGCGGGAAAACCAGACATATAATTTTGTTAATTTTTTTACAGCATCAAGATATAATTATAAGAAACACTTAGGAATTTTTTTTTTAATTTTTGAATTTACAGTTTTGTCTCAGTAGGAAAAAATAGTATGTTTCTGCTTATAATAAAGCTTCCGGTAAGAAACCAAAAATTTTTTTAATAACAACATATATAAAAATGTAAAAGTGGAAAATATTTGCAATAAAACGTTAAATATTTTTTCCTAAACATATGAAAAATCTCGTTAAACAAGAATTATGTCTTGAACCGCCGCCTTCAAATGTGTAATATAGGGAGATGGCTCCATCTGAAACAGTGGTAGTATTTATCATCGATAGATAGCATTACGTTCGGCTTCGAAACGCTTCAAACGAAACGACATAGTAACAGGGTTGCCATATCAATTAGTTTGTACAACAATTTGGCAGAATAGAACAAAACTTAGTAGGAATGTTATCGGTTTGAATTTTAAACTGGTCATGCTGAAACTTACAGACTTACAGAATAGTAGATACTGCAACTTTTATTTTGAAAGTATGATATCATAAAATTTACACTCTATAAGTATTATATCTATAAAAAACTTATTTAGTTTTAAAAACCTATTTAGGCGTTTTTAGTAAATTATTTTAGTATTTATAAACAATAGTGTTCCTTGCATAACGGCCATTAAAGGTTAAATTTGCAGATAATGATAGTCCATTATTTATGTTGCGCAATAATATGAGGTTGTTAGGAACCAAATTTTCTAGAATTCAATTGAAGGATGACTTAACTAAATATCAAATAAACTATTTGAATAAAGTGCGAGAGGAACTGGAAAAACGTAATCTACTTAACAAGGAACTAACAATAAAGTATATTAATAAAGTTCTAACTATTATTAGTACAAACCAACAAAATTCCGCAAAAAAAACAAATATAGTTGACAACAATAAATATTTTTTAGACTAATATTGCTTCTTTACATGCTAAGTTTTCTGACTTTTTGTCAAACAATAAGTTGGTCTACTCAAACACCAAAAGTAGTTAGTAAAGCGAACTCTGCTTTATTATTTATCACAAAAGCTTTTCATAGAATATCTGCAGACATGTTTTTGAAATTCTACAAAAGTTATGTCAGACCTGACCTAGAATTTGCAGTGTCAGTTTGGTCACCTCATTTGCAAAAAGACATTAATTTATTAGAAGGAGTACAACTAAGAGGGACCTAGCTACCTTTTAATTATGGAAGATTAGACTATGAAACCCGACTAAGAAAGCTCAAGTTGTCTCCATTAACTGTTAGACGAGAAAGATATGATGTCATATCTACTTATATAATTCTTAGTGGGGATTTTTGGAGGGGTGGTAGACTAAGAGGTCATAACTATAAATTGAAAAAGAAGTATTTTAAAACCACCTTAAGGCAAAACTTTTTAGTTAACCGAGTTTTTGATAAATTAAACGGTTTAAGTGATGACATAGTAGAAGCTACTAGTTTAAATAGTTTCAAAAACAAGTTTGATGAAAACGAACA